AACAGCATAGCATTTTTGTATAACATTTACAGAAAATTTTGTGGCCGATTGACATTTTAAAAAATTTTTAATGTTCTATGCATGCCTATGTGGATAATTTTACTTTGGAAATTAAAAGTGGTATATAAATAATTTGTATACTGCTTTTAAATAATATATTATTTTATAACCTTTTAGTTACACCATTTTGAAACAAACTTGCGCTGCGTAGGAACTTCTAAAATCTACATGCAAAATGACAATCTTCTAGCTTTTATAGTTTCCGAGATCTCAGCGTTCATACGGACAGACAGACAGACAGACAGACAGACGGACAGACAGACGGACAGACAGACTAACCGACGGACATGGCTAGATCGACTCGGCTAGTGATCCTGATCAAGAATAAATATACTTTATAGGGTCGGAAACGCTTCCTTCTAGCTGTTACATACTTTTGCATGAATACAATATACCCTTTTACTCTACGAGTAACGGGTATAAAAACCATAAAAATAGGTCGAATGCATTAGTTGTAGCTACTTCCGTCTGTCCGTCTGTCTGTTTCTACGCAAACTAGTCTCTCAGTTTTAAAGATATCGAATTGAAACTTTGCACACACCCTTCTTTCCTTTGCACGCAGTTTATAAGTCGGAACGGCCGGGAACGGCCAATAAATCCGACCTACCATATTTCATAAGGATCGGCCGACTATATCCTATAGCTGCCATATAACTGAACGATTGGAAATGCCATATCTTTGGTGTTTATACCCGTTACTCGTAGAGTAAAAGGGTATATTGTATTCGTGCAAAAGTATGTAACAGCTAGAAGGAAGCGTTTCCGACCCTATAAAGTATATATATTCTTGATCAGGATCACTAGCCGAGTCGATCTAGCCATGTCCGTCTGTCCGTCCGTCTGTGTCCGTCTGTTGTCGTCTGTCTGTCCGTCTGTCTGTCCGTCTGTCTGTCCGTCTGTCTGTCCGTCTGTCTGTCCGTCTGTCCGTCCGTATGAACGCTGAGATCTCGGAAACTATAAAAGCTAGAAGATTGGCATTTTGCATGCAGATTCTAGGAGTTCCTACGCAGCGCAAGTTTGTTTCAAAAAGGTGCCACGCCCCCTTTAACGCCCACAATCGCTTATATACGATTTTAAAAATTTAAATATTTCGGAAAAGTAAAAGTGCAGTTTTATTGTGTTCATCAATACCTATCGAAATGTAGAAGAAATTTTTCAAATCGGACCATTCGTTAAAAAGTTATGCGTGATCAAAGTTTCTATCTCCATCTCCCTCGCACTCCCTTTACCTGAGTAACGGGTATCTGATAGTCGAGGCACCCGACTATAGCGTTCTCTCTTGTTTTAAAGTTAGGAAGTTGGGATTTTCTATGAGTTTTATTTTTGGCCAATCAATCCGACTTACCAAACGTAAGGATCGGGCGACTATATCCTATAGCTGCCATATAACTGACGATTGGAAATGCCATAACTTTGGTGTTTTTAAAGTTAGGAAGTTGGGATTTTTTTTGAGTATTAAGAATGCATCATATGAAAAATTTTGGAGAATATAATGTACATAATATTCTGCAAGGGTATATCAACTTCGGCTCAGCCCGAAGTTAGCGTTCCTTTCTTGTTTTTTTTTTAGTTTTAACCGATTGTTCCTATGGGAGCTATAGGATATTGTTTCCTGATCCGAACGATTTTCACACTATATGTGCCTAGGGACAAATAATGACGATTGGTAAGTTTCATGTCGATATCTCCAAAACTGACCGAGTTATTAATTAATGCCACAAAAACCGGTCGAAAACCCCATAGTGCACTGTGCAGACGTGAAAGCACTTCTTGCAAAGGGTCCAAAGTTTGCGATACCAATAGAGATGAAGAATTTCCCTTTCTTTAAGTATATAGCGGATGGAGAGGAATTGGTGCAATCTCTTCTCTTTACTTATTAAAGATCATATGACGTCGGTTCGGGAAAGTTCAATAGATCGCGCAATACTAGACACAGTGGGGCAGACACAAAAATTTTTAAAGGAAAATGACGAAATACTAATTTTAACTTCTGACAAAGGAAACAAGACAGTTGCTATGGACAAGGAAACTTACAATCAAAAAATGAATAACATTTCGGAGGACAGGAACACATATCGGATTTTACGAAAGGATATAACATCGAAACTTCAAATAAAAAACAATGAATTAGCGGAAAATCTATTCACAAAAGGACTTTTTTCACGGAGCGAAAGGAATAAGTTAGTCACGACAAAGGCATTACTACCACGCATATACGGGCTACCAAAAATCCACAAGGAAGGGATTCCATTAAGACCCATATGCTCATCTATTGGATCACCATCACACGGACTCTGGAAATATATTTCAAACATATTAAAGAACATCACCATAGACTCTAGCTACAACATCAAAAACTTAGTGGAATTAAAAGAAAGAATCAACAACACGTACATCTGTGATGATGAAAAATTTATATCATTTGATGTAGTCTCACTATTTCCCAGCATACCTATAGACCTTGCACTAGACACAATTAGAGGAAAATGAACAAAAATAAAAAAACATACAAATATGCCGAAAAAAAATGTTTATGGACATAGTACAATTTTGCATATAGGACAACAGATATTTTAAATTTAATGACGATATATACACACAACTAAAAGGAATGCCGATGGGATCCCCTGCTTCACCAATAATTGCAGACATAGTAATGGAAGAGCTATTAGACAATACTTTGAAAAAACTAGGACATAAACCAAGACTTTTGACAAATTATGTGGATGATTTATTCGCAATAGTAAAAGAAGACGAAATAAAAAATAACATTTGACGATAAACTCTTTCAATAAAAATATAAAATTTACACTGGAATAGGAAGAAGATGGAGGACTAGCATATTTGGACTCAATGGTTCATAGACAGGGGAACATTCTAAAACTAAAGTGGTATAAAAAACCAACAGCATCAGTACGAATCATCAACTTTAACTCAAAACATCCTAAAACAATGATTATCAGTAAAGCAGTAGGTTGTATACAACGGATGCTAGCCATTTCGGACAAAATTTTTCATGAAGAAGCCAAAAATGAAATAAGACAAATTTTAAAAGACAACGACTTCCCAAACCATCTAATTAGAACATTAATTAAAAGACATCAAACTATGGAACAAAAAACAAAATGTAGAGAACCTACACAATACCTGTCCGTAACATATATACCAAGACTATCAGAACGCCTTAAAAAGTCAGAATTTTACAATAAACAAAAAATAACAATAGCACATAAGCCCAACAATACCCTGCGACCAATATTCAACAAGACCAAGTCCAAAATACAAATGTTTGACAAAAACAATGTTGTATATAAAATACCATGCAATGGAGATACAAATGAAAAATGTGACCTAAATGTATCCTATAGCTGCCATATAACTGAACGGTTGGAAATGCCATAACTTTGGTCTTTTTAAAGTTAGGAAGTTGGGATTTTTTATAAGTGTTAAGAATGCATCATATGATTAAATTTGGAGAATATAATTTACAGAATATTCTGCAAGGGTATTTCAATTTCGGCTCCGCCCGAAGGTAGCTTTCCTTTCTTGTTTAATAACAACTAGTATTAATCTGCACGTCCGACGGTGCAGACGTGTAAAATTGTGTAGGTGTAATAATTTTTAATTTTTGAGTATCGTATTAAAGTAAAACTTCCGAATTTATGGGCAGTTGAACTTGGGTAAGTAAGCGCGTTTTATATTCAATATTTGGGTCTCCCAAACTTTAAAATGCTCTCCTGAAAAGTTGCTATTTCAAAGTCGGTGTACACGATCCTGCAAAATCTATCTATTTGCACAGTATTTCTCTAATGAATTCCGAAGGTAACGCTGTCGAGTTTTTTTTTTTTTTTGAAAATTTTTTATTTTTACAGCAACAAATATCTCGACGTTTTGGGCGAAAATCGGCGTTTTTGACTTTCAGGTCAAAACATTACACACGACAGCATTACCTGAGGAATCTTGTCCTTTATCTAATGCAATTTGATTTTTTCATATCAGATGATTCGATGACCAGTTATCGTGTACACCTCAAAACGTATTTTCCTCGAGGCGCCGCCGTTAATTGCCTGTATCTCATTCAATTTGTAATATTTTTAGATGAAAAAATTTACACATGTTATTTAAATGTTGCCCTATTACATGAAAAAAAACAATATTGAGCTGAAACTATCCGTATCGCCAACAAAAATTCTTCAAAAATGACAGATTGGGATTTGGGATTTGGTAATATTTAAATATTATGGAATAGCAATTTTAATTATATTAAAAAAAAAATCAAAAAATGATAACTTTGTTGTTTATATTTATTTTTTTGTTCTTTGGGATTTGGTAATATTTAAATATAATATTACGATTTAAATTAAGTTAAAATCGGAAAACAATATCATATAGCTCCCATAGAAGGATTGCAAGTGCATCGCGAAATCGACATGGCTTCATGGTTTTTAGTAATATAAGCATAGAATCGAAATGTTGTCGATTTGTAATAACTGCAAGTGTATATAAACTTCGGCTTGCCGAAGTTTGCTTCCTTTCCTCTTTTTTATAAATATTGCATAACATATTTATAAACAAGATCAAAAAATTTGCTTATTTTATAATAGTAATAAACGTCGAATTTCTGGTAAGACGGTGCACTGCACTAAGCTCGAATATTTTAATTAGAACTCGCTGTTTATTATCCCTAAATTATTAGTAATAAAAACATATTTGTTGCTCTTATTTTAATATAAGTGAAAAAAAAAACTTTTGGTTTGACATCTTTATATAAAGTACTCTACCATAGGAACTATCTTATTTATCTAACAAACTTAGCTTTCAGTAAATTAACTGCAAAAAAAAAGTCGATCCAATACATACACTCGGAGCTATGTATGTTCATTTATATATATATATTATATAGAATGTAGCTTTCAGTAATTGCCTTAGCTTAAACTTACCACATCTATAAGCTGCGAAAGCTTTAATTTTATGCAAACTTTGAGAACATCCGTGGTATTAACAACAGGTCGAACTAATTTGTTATAGTTGCTCAAGAGGTCATCATATAAGCGTTTAGCATCCGGGTTGCCAGCTACTGCTCCATGAACCATAAGAGCAGATAGTATCCAAGCTCTGAAAGTTTCGCCCGAAGACGGCTTCCTTATAAATAGTTTCAATACCTCGATTATGAACTTCATAGCGTCTTTAAATATACGTCTTCAAATAAAAAAACTTTTTTGAATGACAGAGAATGAAGAGTTTTAGTTATAGAGTCCTGCAAACAAAAAAAAGAAAAGAAAACATTTTAAGTCTTATCGTAATAAGTTTAAAAATGGTCGAGTTCCTCGACTATGATATACCCGTTACTCAATTAACCAATTTCCAAAAAATGTGCCCCCCGGCGCATTTTGAAATTTTGGGAAGCGCAATCTGCCGTTGTTTGTACTCCCTAACACTGCACGGCACAAAAGAAAAAATTGTATTACATTTACATTTTATTATTGATACACTTATTAAATTTACTTTTCAGCGATTGACAAAAAACTAGTTGTCTTAAATTACGTTTAAACCACTCGGAACCCTTAATTGTTTTCTTGTTTATGTATTTTATGTAGCAATAGAATGACGAACTATGTTCCCAGTAAGTACTTTAAAAAATTAAACATTTTAAAATATATATTTTGGTAATCTTTATAGTTGCTACGAACAGGTCAGGGAGTGCTGATTGGATAATTATGTAAATTTGGCGCCAAGTGAAATACATTTTTTTCCGAGGCTTCTTATTATACTCTTGAAGAGGGTATTATAATTTCAGTCAAAAGTTTGCAACGCAAGGAAGGAGACATTTCCGAGCCTATAAAGTATATATTTTCTTGATCAGTATCACCAGAAGAGTCGATCTAGCCATGTCCGTCTCTCCGTCCGTCTGTCCGCCCGTCTGTCCGCCCGAAATCGAAATGTAGTTGATTTGTAATTACTGCAGGGGTATATAAATTTCGACTTCCCGAAGTTTGCTTCCTTTCTTATTTTTGAAATAGCATTGCTCGTCGATCTAAAATCCAGGTAATTTATAGTTTTAGCCACTTCCAGCTGCTATTTCTTAACGCATTCTCGCTGAAAGCCTTCCTTGTATTTTTCTCACGACAATTGCTTAACAATTTCGGCCAGAGCTCTTTAATTTTCTGTTGTGGTTGTATGCATGAGCATCAATCTTTATAGCAGGAGTACCTGCCAATAACGGCAAACGCATAAAGCTGGGGCCGAAACGACAAGCTAAGGACTGCGTCGGCATTCTGATTTAGCGCTATGGATTGTGGTGAATACTTTGGCATTTTCCCGACCCACTCTTTTGTAATGATGTTCCAAACCAAAAAAAAAATTAATCCAATTCACACATTTGGTGTGAAATCATTTCTCTGATCTGGTTGGAAATTAAAAAACAATACTTTATTTTTTTTATACAAATTTAAATGAAATATTTTTAAGCATTTTCATGCATAGTTTGGAGTGTTTTGTATAAAAAAAAATCTGGACTTTCATACAAAATTAACTGCTATTTAAACATTTTAATAAATTTAACTGGTTCAATTATTATTTTATTATTCAATTATTAGAGAAACGAACACCTTGGTGACAGAGCTTAAAAGATATTTTCCAATAGTTCTCTACATATATCGATTGAACTGCGCCTGTCCGTAACTACGAAATCTACTATACGATGTATGTAACTGGAATAAGATAATAGTGTTCGACCACACAATAATTTATAGTCGATTAGGTTGACTTTGTTTAAATTCAAATCATAAGCAGAAGGCATTATTATATAAGGTATAACCACTAACCATACAACATATAGACTGGTCATTTCCTACAACGTAAATGGACACAACAATTTCTTAGCGACAGGCCCCAGGGCCCTTAGCAGCAGGCCCCGGACGTTCGGTTTTTTTGCGCTCTCATTCCCATTCTCATTTTGATGGTCGCGCACTCATTGCACGAGTTCGGTCGTTCAGTTGCAGAGACGCGCATTTTGAAGAAGGTTGCGCCTGCGCTTGAATTGGTCTTTATATGTATGCGTGTTCATGCATTCTCATACAGGGGTGCATGTGTGCGTTTATTTCATTTGATGCAGCAAGAATATTTTGTCTTTTGCTACTTTTCATAATGTGTACCCTAACAATATGGGCGTATTCACTATTAGGTTAATGGTAAAAATAAGAATATTATATTTTACAATATATTTATACCCTTGCAGAGTGTATTATAATTTTGGTCAAAAGTGTGCAACGCATTGAAGGAGACATCTCCGACCCTATAAAGTATATATATTCTTGATCAGGATCACCTCCTGAGCTGATATAGCCATGTCCGTCTGTCCGTCTGTCTGTCCGTCTGTCCGTCTGTCTGTTTCTACGCAAACTAGTCTCTCAGTTTTAAAGCTATCAAATTGAAACTTTGCAAACACCCCTCTTTCCTTTGCACGCAGTATATAAGTCGGAACGGCTGGGATCGGCCGACTATATCCTATAGCTGCCATATAACTGATTGATCGGAAATGCCATAACTTTGGTATTTGTTAAGTTAGGAAGTTGGGATTTTCTATGAGTTTTATTTTTGGCCAATCAATCCGACCTATCAAATTTCATAAGGATCGGCCGACTATATCCTATAGCTGCCATATAACTGAACGATTGGAAATGCCATTACTTTGGTGTTTTTAAAGTTAGGAAGTTGGGATTTTTTATGAGTATTAAGAAAGCATCATATGAATAATTTTGGAGAATATAATGTACATAATATTCTGCAAGGGTATATCAACTTCGGCTCCGCCCGAAGTTAGCTTTCCTTTCTTGTTTTTAATATTTCAGCATAAATTTAATTTTGGTTTACAAATTCAATGTATGTATTCCAATTAATAGGAACAGGGCGCCGCCAAACATATTGAACCAAAAAGGTTAAATTTTGACTTGTCTGCAAATAACACGTTATCTCAAAACAAAATCAAAAGAAGAATGTTTGTTCCTCGTTCCTAATACGGTGCTAAAAGCTTCGGCCAAGCATGGCGGGGCCATGTTGTGGCTTAGGCCTGTATGGAGGGGCAACCTTTTATTGATGGGATGGCCAAAATGTACCGACAGATTTTAAAGGAAAACCTGCTGCAAACTGCTGAGAAATAGAAGACACTTTTATTAAAATGCAAGCAAGAAGGAGAAACCAGATGACGGTTTTTTGAATTTGTCACCAAATCGCTCAAATTTTCCGAAAAAATACAGAGATTTTAAAAATTGTATAGCATTATTTACATAGATGGTACATGATAAGTTAATTATTTCTCAGGCTTACGAATTTAATTATTTATTAAATTGTCTGTCTGCCGCTTTTAACGTCTTTCATATTATACTTGTTGGCGGCGAACACCTTAACTAAAGCAGCGATTCTGGTTGTGAAGGCGCCATTATTTTCATCAATTGTCCAGCTTGTCCCTGGAACTGGTTGACGACGTAATAGTCGACGTTCGAGCAAAGAAGGGAATAATTCGACGTCCTATCTGCAAGCTGGCACCCTTTCCTAATGAAAAGAAGCTGGGAATGAGAATTTCTGAAGAGATTGTTTGTTTCTTGGCGATTAAAAAACATAATTAACTAGAATTTAACTGGTTGAAAATAGTCTAACATATTAGCACTTTACCGTACTTGCTGTAGATCTTAGGCTTTAGTTCCAGCCATTTACGGAGCGGAAAATAAATTCATTGCACATTTGAAATCAAAGTTATCAAAGTTTATTATACGATCTGCTACCATAATTTAGTCAGAAAACTTTTTTCTTTTATGAATTGAGTTTTTTGGAAAGCTACTAGATCTTCTAATTGCAGTAATTTTTCCTTCCTCTCTTTTTGAAGTTCCGCTGGCTTCTACTCTTATTAGGTTGCGCTTGTTTATAACGCATAACAATATTCTAAAGGATGTTGACCATTAGATATAAACTATAGGCTGCAGCTGTTTGCTCCGGATCTATATATCTTTGTGCACAGTATGATATTGAACAGCTTAACAGGTTCACATTACTTTAACACACAAATTATGCTAGTATTTCAAACCTTCTATAAATTTCACTTGCAAACGGCAATTTCCAATCATAAATTGCATATACGTTACGTGGTCAAACTGTTTTTATAGCAAAACGACGAAATTGATATCTGAAAAAATTTATCATACAACGAAAAAAATAGTTTCTATTATTTTCAATAATTTCGTACTTTTCAAATTATCTACTAGGAAATGTATTTAATTTATAAATTAATGTTTATACGTATCAGATATTTTCGAAATATTCACTGCTTGATTTCTTCTCGGAAATGGTGCATTATAAATATGGATGCGCTTTTGGCTTCTATTATTTTATGGCTATATTGATGAGATGTAGTCATTTTTAACGATTTCAGAATTACTGTTTTACTTCTATAAAAATTGGACGTCTAAATTATATAGCAGCCATAGGAAGAATTGAAAAATGTATCGGAAAATAGACTTAGCTCCATTGCCTTTAAATATAAAATATTTATTTTTGGAAACAGCTTTAAGCTTCGGCTTGCCTTGCCTTTTTTTCAACAGCCTACGAGGCCTACCACATTTACTGTACGATTTTGTTCGAATTCACATACTCTTGAGACAATATCTGCTGGGTTCTCTTGTGTTGTGACATGTCGCAATGTGACTTCACCTGACCACTCTATAATCTTCGCAACCCAATTCGATTATACAATCTCAGAGACTCATAGGGGTCTCTCCTCCGAATAATAATTTGAATTGATTTTTTCGCTTTATTAACCACCTGGCTATACTTTTTCTTTACGTCGTTAAGGAGGGTAAACCTACGGAAAGCGGAGTAAAGTTAAATAATTGAGCTGTTATTTCAATACGGACTATAATGACTTCTGGGACATTTTTGGGAAACTAAACACTAAACGTCGAAATATTGTTCATAAAAATCAAAAATTGGTTATCGTATGCTTATTTGAGGCTGGCCATTGCGTTTTCATAATTGCTCACTCTGACTAGGTATGCCTAAATGGTTCCTGAGACTTAACTCGCGAAATCAAAGCGCCAAAGTGTGTCCACAATAAACTAAAATCAAAAGTTCTATAAAAAAAATAAAAATTATGTGTCAGTGTAGAGTCGAGACAACAACAATTTGCATTGTGAGTTTAGCTGAAAAAAAAAGTTCAATGGAATTTTTGTTACGGACAGCGACACAATGCAAGATAGGCGAGTGACC